AAATCTCCCACAGATTCTAAACCATGTTTCTCTTGAAGGTGGCTTCCATCTGCGACATTGTACTGAATCACACCGCCAACGAGTCCGAGTGGCTACTGCAGCATCCGGACGCCACTTACTCGTGCGCCACCTGTCCCTACCTCCGTCCCGCCTTCCTGTTGGACGCCGCCTTCGCCCAGTGCGGAGCGGACATAGCCGAGGGTAGCCTGGAGCACGTCGGAGTGCCCCGGGTCATCGATCAGGAGTGCCATTTGGAAGCGTTAAAGTACCAGTTGCACACCTCCTACATGTCCAAGGTCAATATACACGAGCTGTATCAGTGCGATGTCATGAAGTACGTCAATGAGTTCATGACCCAGGTGCGAACTCGCGAGCCACCCAAGAACGTGGCCAACGAGTATCGCTTCCACGAGATCCAACTGATACAGGACCCGCAATATCGACGCTTGGCCACCACCATCAATTTCGAGCTGGCGCTGGAGATCTTTAATGCTTTCCATGGCGACTGCTTCGATGAGGAGTCCCGGTTCCGCAAGTGTGCCGAAACCCTTCGTCGCCATCTCGACTCCCTCAACGAACGTGTGCGCGCCGAGATTCAGGGTTACGTCAACTGTGCCATAGACAACGTTTTGTCCGGTGTGCGCTACGAAAGAGTCCAGGGTGATGGGCCCAGGGTGAAAGAGATCTCCGAGAAGCACTCGGTCTTCATGGTCTACTTCACGCATACGGGCACCGAGGGCAAATCGCTCACCGAGGTCGAGGCGGATATGTACTCCGAGGCTGGGCAGTTCTTCATGGCCCACAATGGCTGGGTGATGGGATCCAGCGATCCGCTGCGCGACTTTGCGGAGGAGCAGCCGGGACGCGCCAATGTCTACATCAAACGCGAGCTCATCTCGTGGGGCGATAGTGTGAAGTTGCGATTCGGCAAGCGACCGGAGGATAGCCCCTACCTGTGGAAGCACATGACCGAGTACGTGCAGACCACGGCGCGCATCTTCGACGGAGTGCGTTTGGACAACTGTCACTCCACGCCGCTGCATGTGGCCGAGTACCTTCTGGATGCCGCTCGGAAAATCAACCCAGAGCTGTATGTGGTGGCAGAGCTGTTTACCAACTCGGATGGCACTGACAATGTGTTTGTCAACCGCTTGGGCATCACCTCCTTGATCCGTGAGGCCCTTTCCGCCTGGGATTCCCACGAGCAGGGTCGTCTGGTCTACCGATATGGAGGTGTGCCTGTCGGAGGCTTCTATGCCAACTCCTCGCGTCACGAGGCCACCAGTGTGGCCCATGCCCTCTTCCTGGATCTCACCCACGACAATCCGTCTCCGGTGGAGAAGCGTTCCGTGTACGATCTGTTGCCCTCGGCAGCTCTGGTTTCCATGGCCTGCTGTGCCACCGGAAGTAATCGTGGTTACGACGAACTTGTTCCCCATCACGTGAGTATTTTTTTTATTCATAGCCGTATCCCTTTTCTCTATGGAATCCTCTCCCCCAGATCCATGTTGTAGACGAGGAACGCAGCTACCAGGAATGGGGCAAGGGAGTCGACTCCAAATCGGGAATTATGGGAGCCAAGAGAGCGTTGAACCTGCTGCACGGACAGCTCGCAGAGGAGGGCTTTAGCCAGGTCTATGTTGACCAAATGGATCCCAATGTGGTGGCCGTCACGCGCCACTCGCCGACCACTCATCAGTCGGTTATTTTGGTGGCCCACACGGCATTCGGGTATCCGTCTCCAAATGCCGGACCCACCGGAATCCGTCCTCTGCGATTCGAGGGCGTGCTGGACGAGATTATCTTAGAGGCCAGTTTGACCATGCAGAGCGACAAGCCCTTTGATCGTCCGGCTCCGTTCAAGAAGGACCCCAATGTGATTAACGGCTTCACCCAGTTCCAGTTGAGTCTGCAGGAGCACATCCCTCTGGCGAAGTCAACTGTGTTTCATACCCAGGCCTATGTTGATGGCAACAACACGGAGCTGAACTTTGTTAATTTACGGCCCGGCACAGTGGTGGCCATCAGGGTGTCCATGCATCCGGGTCCACGGGCCAGCTTCGATAAGCTCCAGAAGATTGCGAATGCTTTACGTGTGGGAACCGGCGACGAGTGGTCTCAGCTGCAGGCGATCGTCTCAAAGTTGGATCTGGTGGCCTTAAGTGGTGCACTCTTTAGTTGCGATGAGGAGGAGCGGGATTTGGGCAAAGGTGGCTCAGCCTACGATATACCCAACTTTGGAAGGATAGTTTACTGCGGCCTGCAGGGATTCGTTTCCCTGCTGACAGAGATTTCGCCCAAGAATGATTTGGGTCATCCGTTTTGCAACAATCTTCGCGATGGCAATTGGATGATGGGTATGTTTTTACAGAGCAAGAGTTTATAGTAGGTAACTTATACTTCTCCCCAGATTACATTGCCGATCGTCTAACCAGCTATGAAGATCTGAAGCCGCTCTCCGAGTGGTTTAAAGCTACCTTTGAGCCCCTGAAGAATATTCCACGCTACCTCATACCCTGCTACTTTGATGCCATTGTCAGTGGGGTTTTCAATGTGCTTATCAACCAGGTCAACGAACTAATGCCTGAGTATGTCCTTTCGCAGGCTGGCGTAGATAATGCCTATCTAATTGTTCTTGGTTTTTCAATAGTTTCATCAAGAATGGTCACAGTTTCACACAGTCACTGGCCCTGTCCACATTGCAGTTCCTCTCCGTTTGCAGATCGGCCAATCTGCCAGGATTCAGTCCTGCCCTCAGTCCACCCAAACCACCGAAGCAATGTGTAACACTATCCGCCGGTCTGCCGCATTTCTCGACGGGTAAGCCAAAAATATCTTAAAATTATTGGGAACCAAAAACGAGTTTACCAAATAGGTATAGCAAGATTAAGTTGTTGTATACTTAATCATAATAAACTTGTAAATATTTTAAAAGGAAAACTGCATCAAAGTTAACAAGTAATTTTGCTTAGATATTTACCTACCTATATCTTATCCCTTAGGTTACATGCGCTGCTGGGGCAGGGACACCTTCATCGCCCTGCGTGGATCCATGTTCCTCACCGGTCGATACAACGAAGCCCGCTTCATCATCATTGGATTTGGGCAGACGCTCCGGCATGGTCTCATCCCCAATCTGTTGGACAGCGGCAGCAAGCCGAGGTTCAACTGCCGCGATGCCGTCTGGTGGTGGATGTACTGCATCAGGCAGTACGTGGAGGATGCACCCAAGGGTGCCGACATCCTGAGGGACAAGGTGTCGCGCATCTTCCCGTACGACGATGCGGAGGCCCATGCTCCGGGAGCCTTTGACCAGCTGCTGTTCGATGTGATGCAGGAGGCGCTGCAGGTTCATTTCCAGGGACTGCACTACAGAGAGCGCAACGCAGGCCAGGAGATCGATGCGCATATGCTGGACCAGGGTTTCAACAACCACATTGGCGTCCATCCGGAGACAGGCTTCGTTTTTGGTGGCAACAACTTTAACTGCGGCACCTGGATGGACAAGATGGGTTCCTCGCAGAAGGCGGGAAACAAGGGGCGACCCAGTACGCCACGCGACGGATCCGCCGTGGAGCTCGTTGGCGTGCAATACGCCGTCCTTCGGTTCATGCAAAGCCTGGCCGAGAAGGAGGTCATCCCGTACACTGGCGTGGAGCGGAAGGGACCGTCTGGCGAGGTGACCAAGTGGAGCTACAAGGAGTGGGCCGATCGCATTAAGGACAACTTCGACAGGCACTTCTTTGTGTCCGAGACGGAAACCTGCTCGGTGGCCAACAAGAGGCTGATCTACAAGGACAGCTATGGAGCCACCCAGAGCTGGACGGACTACCAGCTGCGCTGCAACTTCCCCATTACCTTGACCGTGGCCCCGGAGCTATGCAATCCCCAGAATGCCTGGCGTGCCCTGGAACGGGCCAAGAAGTTCCTTCTGGGTCCGCTGGGCATGAAGACCCTGGATCCCGAGGACTGGAACTACAGGGCCAACTATGACAACTCTAATGACTCCACCGATTGTACGGTGGCCGATGGCGCCAACTACCACCAGGGACCGGAGTGGGTGTGGCCCATTGGCTTCTATCTGAGGGCACGCCTGATCTTCGCCAAGAAGTGTGGCCACCTGGACGAAACCATTGCCGAAACATGGGCCATACTGCGCGCTCATCTGCGCGAGCTGCAGACGTCCCACTGGCGGGGATTGCCCGAGTTGACCAACGATAATGGCTCCTACTGCGGAGACTCCTGTCGCACGCAGGCTTGGAGTGTGGCTGCCATCCTAGAAGTGCTATACGACCTGCACTCCTTGGGAGCGGATGTGGCCTAAGCCCAAAGTCCACCGCACATACTCATACTCAGACCTGTTAGTTGCTACCAAAAACTGTTATTAGTGTTACATTTGATATGATTGTACGGACACAAAACGGAATGTGATTTGTTGTCAGATGCTCCTTGAAATTTTGCCATTTCCTATTCTATTAAAGTTGCAATTGTTTTTAATATGTGGATGATGTTGTTTGTTTAGGAGAAGTAGCTATCCCGGCACACGCGCATGCAAGAGCACTGGGGAGGATCGATGGAGCCGTAATTCTTTCGCGGCATGTCTCTTCCCACATATTTGAGGCTTCTGTTGATCTCTGGAGGCGGAGGTATCTTGAGAGGTGAAACCACGTCCTGGGAAATTGACTTCACTGGGAGGTCAGGCAATTGATTTTCTTTCTTTACTTTGGACTTATCATCCTCTATTCTCAACTTAAAAATAGGGTTAAACCTTTGTAACTTCTAACTATGTATATATCTTCTACTCACATTGCCACATTTTCTCAAGGCCAGAATGACTGCTTCACATGTTAAATCATATGCTTTCTGCAAGACAACTTGCTGGACAACATCCAGAACATTAAACATTTCGTAGGTTGTACAAAAAATGTGGGCTATTGGTTTACACGAAAATTGGTTAGCAACTGAACGAGAGTTTTGACACAATATTCCCAAGTCATATGAACGGTACGTACATATATGTATATTTTTATACACTCCTAGGCTACATTCTCTTATAAACTAAATAAATACGTGTAAAGTTTATGTACATAAAGCTTTGCATACTTTGTAGACTTTCCACATTACGTAAGCAGCGGGGTTTGGGTTCCTTTTGGACTCGCTTTGTTGGATTCGTTTTCAGTGGTCACCTCGACATCATCATCTTTGATGGATTTGAGATCACGTCCAATACTTTCCATGTTCAAGACCAAGGCAGCTGCGCCCACGTTTGTATTAACTTCATCTAGTTTGGGCTCGCGAAGGCAGTTTTCCTCGTTGGAGGCCTCCCGTTTGACTCTCGTCGGTGGTTGCTCTGTTGCGTCTTTTGAAGCTCGCAGGTTGAGAAGCTCCCGGCGGATGGCCTCTACGTTGTCTTCCAGATTTGGTTTTTTAATGTCCGAGTCATTTGTGGCCTTTGGCTGAGTCGCATTTACCATTAGGGCCAAAGGGATGGGCAACCGCTTGATCAGCGATGCTGTGTCCAGGCTGGAGTTCCTAAGCAGCTCTCCTGTTTTGTAGGAGAGCGGTTCGAAAACACCGGCATGGGCTTCTTTTTCATCGCGCAAATGAGTATTTTCCGTGAGTATATCCATTAATGAAGCCTTGGGCCTGCGCTGCTCCTTTTCTTTAGCAACAGGTTGCGATTCCTTCAGCGTATTTTCAGATTTTACCGATTCTTCAGCTTCTTTAACGGCAACCTTTAAAGGTTGCTTCTTCTCTAACTCCAAAGACTGCTGGCTAAGTGGATTATTTTTGGCCAGCTCTTCGTTAAGCTCGCCAACGGTTTTTGCCAGCAGTTTCTTGGTTTCTTTTAGTTCTTTTTGGGTCTTAGCCAACTCGTCTGCACTAGCTTTACTCTCCTTCTGCTCCTCGGCGGCCACATCCTCCTCTTTCTTTATAGCCGCTCCGTCAATTGTATTGCTTGCTGATAACAGACTTGAATCTACTTTAGGAGCTTCCGATGGCGCTGCGACGACAACAGGTGGAATTTCTTTGGGCTTATCATCGGTCAGGTTGACGTCGACAGATTTGGTTTCAGGTGGGTTTACTTCTGCCGCAGTTTCTAGTGGTTTTTTAAGATCACTTGCAGCCTTATCACTTCCTAAGGGAACTACATGGACTTCATCAATGGGCAGTGGAGGCAACGGTGGGCTATCGGAAGAAGCGGTTTGCAATACCTTTGGCTTTTCGAGTATCTTTTCCTCTACAGTTTCCTTAACTAACTCTGAATTCTGAACTTCCAACTTTTTCAGCAAAAGGTTCTTCTCATTTTCGATTGGATCCTTGGCCAAATGTTTGGGTAGCTCACCGACAACAGCGGGTTCTTGACCCACGGGGTACAGGGGCGTGACTATTGGAACTATATCGAACTCCGGTCCCGAGCTCTTCTCATCAATCGCACTCAGGTTTGCGTACGTTCCTAAAATCATCAAAAGGAACCCACTCACAAATACAAACTGGGCCAGCGTGCGTTCCATTGATTCCTTTTTGATGATCTTGCGAAAACTGGATGCGGGAAACATAATGCATATGGCCACGCCAATCGTTGAGCCCACCAAACCAATGATCAGCTCCACGGAAGGTATAACAAGCGCCACGCATAGCGAAAAGACAACAATGAAGATAGTGATGAATCGGAAACGTTGCTCCGGTATGTAACTACTGCTCTCCGAGTGGCCCTGTCAAAACAAATTTATGAGTGTGCCCACAAATAGATAACATCTATAATTACCTTTCGGTATAGTAGCGAATAGAGACTGGCCCTGCAGGGAAAGATAACCAGTGGAAAACTGAAAGCAATCGACAGCACAAAGCCAATTTTGATGATATCGCTGCCAAAGGAGGTCGATAAATTCACCAGAATGTTTCCTATAAATGCGAAGCAAAATATGTAGTTCATGAAATGCGTCAACAAGGTGGCTGGCTTACCCGAAAAGGTGTGAGTACAGAAGGCCACATATCCGAAAAACCCCACGGATATGTAAACAAAGGTACAGATCCAAGTGGCGTTGCGCACGATGCCGTTTAACTTGTCGAGACTTTGGTTGTTGATACTATCGAAGACCTCAAACAGCTGCCTGCAGATTGAACAAATATTTAATCGTATCGTACGGAACGAGAAAGCTGTGTTTACACACATTTGGCAGGAGAGCGCCATGCTGAAGATGGGCAGGCACTGGAGCACGCCTGTCGGCTCCCAGTAGAGCACCTTCTCCGTCCAGTCGTTGGCCGTAATGTGCGGCTGGGCCTCCAGCACGATCTTCAAAATGAGGCAGACGTAGAATCCAATGGACGCGGTACATACGGCCGACAAGCTGTCCACATTCCGGAGCATGCCCAGGGGCACTATGCAGACCACTGTCACCACGACCATGACCTGAAAGACAAGGGTAAGTATATCGATATGTTTGTTTCTTCAGTTTAAGCTTCTTACCAGACTTCTCAGATGCAGATGCTCCGCCACATTTAGGGTGAAAATCTTGGCGATTATCTGGGGCCCCAGATCGCCCACGACTACGAAGTACGTGATGCACGTTCCGATCAGGTAGCCAATGATGCACAGCTCCACCAGCAGCTTACCGGAAGCACCGAAAGCGTGGAGACCCAGCATCTCGAAGCTCTTCCTACGTGTCAGCAGCGAGGTTTTGATAAGATAGTGGCAGCAAACCCGGGTGATTCCATTGCTCAGAACCAGGAGAACTATGGACAGTAGGATGCCGCACTTCTGGAAGCAGAAGGGCATGGCCAGGATGCCGACGCCTATGATGCTGTTGGCCAGCGTCATCACATGGGCGTAGTGGGCCAGCATCTTGCCGGGGATCCTCCGAACTTTCACTCGACCTCCGAATTGGGACTCGTTTTTGTTTTCTTCGTGGGCGTCTGGCCGCGTAAGCAAGCTCGTTAGTCAGACAAAGAGCTGCTCTGTGCTGAGTATCACCCACCTGTGACTATCTGATAGCGATACGCGAAAACTACGTACTTGTCACTTCGGAAATAAAGGCTATCGACGACTGCACTTGTGTAAGCAAAATTGTAAACAAAATAATCCGGCGGCGACGACGACGGCGACGGCGGTGGAAGAGACGTTGGCGCTTACATTGAGTGGGCGGATGAGGTTCAGCAAACATTTGTTCCAATTACGGGTGCGTTTGTTGCGCTGGCAGCGTGCTTGCGCATTTTTACGCACGCAAGAAAGTTTTAAAACGAATTTGTCGTGTCGTCAGCATTGTTTGCCAGTGTGACCAGTTGCTGGCAGTAGCATTTGGCGAGCATTTGGGGGATCCTCATATTGAGTCAGAGGCGTATCTAGGGGTTATTAAGTTTGGGCGCACGCTACAAATAATTTTTTTTTAATATTTTAATAAGCTCACATTTAAAACTTAAATTAATAAATTAATAATTCGCCAAAAACACTATTTGAAAATCTCGTCCTAAGGCAAATGTGTATGATTTTGCATGAACTTATCTCTGGATCTAGCGGTCTTCATTAAAATGTAATGTATATGAACAAAACAGCAATATTTCGGCGCCATATCAAATACTGTTTATGCAAGATAAAAAGGTATATCCTGTTGTAGGTCACGTTTTACTAAAGAATTTTAAGAAATCCGCTTAACAGTCTTCGAAACTTTCAATTTTCTCTCGCAACTGCGAAAATATTAAAAAAAAAATCGAGTTCAAGTTATAGCGTCAAGACTTGACTTCAAGTCTGATTTATATATAACAACTTTCTAATAAACCATGTGTAGTTAAATATGGCACGAATTTCATTTCCTACAATTTTTTTTAACGAGAATAGGTATTTTTGTTTTTAATTATATTGGAAAAATTAAAACACAAAAAAAATTATATTGACGCCCGATCTGCGGATTTTCCCATTTAATTTGCGTACACCCATAAAAAGAAGATTGCAAAAGTTTAAGGCTTCCTGATTTTAAGCTGAGCTCCCAAACGGTATTGATAGTTTCTATTGAAAACTCAAACGTACATGGTTGTATCTACTTGCCCAGGAATGCTAAATAAGAATATAAGTACGTACTGGATAGGAAATGAATTCTTTAGGTACGTTAGAAATTTTAACTAAGGCATGCATTTGTCTATTGAAAAGAAGAGTCCAAAATCACCAATATAAGAACAAAAATTTGGTTAAATTTATTCTTCGCAAACAATTTAATAAGGAAACCACAGTATCAGGTGATTAAAAAAAACTCTGAAAAGTAGGCATTTTATCAGCATTGCGCGAGGGCTACACCAAAACAGCTCTGCTTTGGCATATCTGCTCACCACATTAACGGTCACACCAATTTTCTTGTTGTTTCGAACTCGAGCGGACGTGCTCGCGCACTTCTGCCAGAAAATATTCCAATAAATGTGCAAGAAATTCGGTGTCGATTGGAGTCCAACGAGTGTGGCACATTTTCCACAACGCATCCGCAACATTTTCAAGCTCGGATGCCGTGCAGAGATGCTGATATCTTGTGATTAAAATTCTCCCCGTCTGAGGTACGAAAGAAGTGAAAAAAAATGTCTGCCGCGCGTAGAATCGACGCGCACACCAACACAAAGAAGCGACGCCGCCATGTCAATGTGTATAGTTGTACCGTTCTAGCAGCCGGAATTCGGCACTTCGCTCGTGTATGTGTGAAATGCTTATTTTGAGCGTTGAAATCTGGTGAAAATTTAAAAAATCTGGCGACAATAGAAAAGGTTGTGCAAAGAATATTGGGTTTTCATTTTTCTCTGGCGAAAGACGGAAAAATAACGCGTGTGTGATAGGCATGGAAAAAAACCAAGACGCAGGGTTGCATTTCCTTGGTTTTCAAGGGGTGCATTCTGTGTGATAAGCGTTTTTTTTTATAAGATGACTATGAATTTATTTGTTCAGCACTGTTGATAGTGGATATTACGCAGCGCAAATGGTAAAATCATAGTCTATGCAAATTAATGGGTTCTAAAGTCTGACCAGGGCTGCATCAACGAAACATGTGCTCGAAATAGCACTATTCTTTTTTTTTCCCGCCAACTGCTGTCAGTTCAAAATAATACTGGGAACTCATACCCCTCTTCCGTCTTTGTTTTTGTTGTTCTTGCAGATGTCTCAAACATGAATGAAGGTAATTCAGCAGGAGGGGGGCATGAAGGGCTCAGCCCGGCCCCTCCTGCTGTGCCAGACCGCGTAACTCCACATTCAACGGAAAAATCAGATTCGACAGCCAAAACAACGACCATAACAGAACCAGCAGGAGCAGGATCAACAGCAGCCTTGCCGGCCACCCGCCATCATCACCATCACCTTGCGACCCAAGCAAAAGGAATCGCAAGCAGCAGCAAACAGAAGCATCTGCCCAGTGCGCAGCTGCCTGTGCCGCTGTCGCCCTTGCCGCAACAACAACAGCAAACGACAGAGGCAACGGCAGCAGCAGCAGCATCCGCCCACACCAACCCATCCGCCTCCTCCAGCACCACGAGCACCATAGAAGCCTCTGTTTCGCCGCCGCAGGCCAAGCGTCAGCGTTTGGACAACAGCGAGGATAGAACGAGCGCCACCAGCATTGTTGGTACAGCCGGGAGCAGCAACATTGTGGGCTCTCTGCTCCCAGCATCGGTGGCCTCCAGCAGCGAGGTCGGTGGGCTTTCATCAACGGCCCTGCAGGACCTGAATGCCCTGAAGAAGCGCATTCTCCAGCAGAAGTTGCAGATCTTGCGTAATCTTAAGGAAAGGTGTGTTTCCCTTCGATACTCCTTACTTTACCCATATCACCGACTTCTGTTTCCATCACCAGGCATCTTGAAAATGTGTCCGAATACTTTTACCTACAAAACGGCGGCAGTATGATGGACTACCCTGCGTGGCGCAAGAAGACACCAACCCCGCAGTTCATCAGCTACAGTAATGCAAATCGTATAGACCAGCTGATACACGAGGATAAGCCGAGCACATCGGCAGCAGCAGCAGCTGCGGCACAGAATCAAGCCCAAAAATATACCACTCAACAGGCAGCCATTGTGGAGACTTCATTGGTCGGCGGAATCAACACAGGAACGACGGCGCCAGCTCCAGTGGAGGGCAGCATCTTCAATAATACAGTAAAAACGGTAGGAATCCTTTGAGAAATTTTGAGAACATAGATCCATCATTATGATGTTAGAAACAAACTGAGTGCCTTAATCGATCTATTTTTGATTGATTCTGGTTTTTAAAGGGATGTTCGCAGTTGCGAGGCATTTGTCTGAATGAAACATAAAAGCTTCTGTTTTATTCAAGTTTACAATTTTATACTAACTCGGATTTCGATGTTTACAGAATTCGCAATCTCAAGTGCCAAGCAAGATTGGCAGCAACACAACCTCAAGTCCCGCAGCAACACAACACACAAGCAACGCAAGCAGCACAGTTTCAGGAGCTGCTGCAAGTGTCACCGCCACTACCACAACTGGGAGCGCGTCGGAGGCTAGTAATGTCCTACCACCAGAGGCGGAGATCAAAATCCCAGCCGTTGGAGCCACACCAGTGGCCATTTCAACAAAGCTACCCGCTGCCGTTGTCCAGTTAACACAACAAGGTAAATTCACCGCGTTCATAATCGCATACTCTGATCTCTCTCATTGTTATAAAGACTTTTGTGTTTCTGTTGTGTTTGTTTTGACCAAACAAAATTGTATTTTTCGTTGTTTTAAAATTGTTATGTTCGTCCCAATATTTATGCCAAATTCAAATTGTAAAATCGATGCAAACATTTTAGCCAACTGCATACCAACTCCTGTAACTCCGAAACTGAAACTAAAACCGCGCCAACTGCCAACGCACGTCCTGCACTAAAAACTTATAATGTTATACCGATATTATATTGTGGTCGCCAAATATTGTGCATTACTAATACAAATTACAACAAAAGCTAACTAAACTCACAAAATGCAAAGATTATTTTGTTAGTTTATCACACAAACACACACCTACTAAAACACAAGCATAACCATATAACCGATTAACCCGTACTGCTGTTTATTATTTACGAATTTATTTCTTTTCCGATTTCTGTTTCCACATTAATGCTGCCTACATCCTCCTATAACGCACACACTTTCAACTCACCATAATTGTATCGTTATCGTTATAATATAGGTCACATACCCGGTAGACCTTTAGGAGGTCGTCACGGTATGGTCTTCGGTCAAATACCTGCTCCTCCTGCTGCCGTAGGAAATCCTTCTGTACCTTTGGTGCCAGGTGCTTATCGTTCGCAAACAACAAAAAATATCAAAAATCTTTCACAGCTAAAATTCTTTTGTTTTGATTTCCATTCTTATTTAAACCAGTTTGTGTGTTAACTATTGAAGCATTTTATCATTTGCCAAGCAAAGTAGTGCATTGATGTGCATAAAACTTATGTTTTCAATTTGTAAAGTGTTTTCTAGAATTGGTGTTATTGCCCTTAGTTTGGATTGGTAAATCTGCTTAATACTTTGTTTTCAGTTTGAATTCATTAATAATTGATGAATGTATTGTTTTATTGATTGCGTTGATTTGTAAGCAAGGTAGCATACTTAGCAAATTAGAAAACGCGTCGATCTTACGGACTCATTACACCACTTGGGCTCTTTTCTCAACAACCCAGCCATCTACTCATCCACATGCTTAATCATTAGTCTTAGCCTAGTTATATCCAGCACCTAAAAGCGTTTTCTTGTCAGCCCGTTAAATGCTCTTGAAAATCGTAGATGTGTGCCAGAGCAAAGCTTAGTTGCAAGTGATTCGGCCTAACTCGATGGCAGGTATCCATATAGCTGACTACAAGCGATCCCGGAAAATGCACCCAAAAGCGTTTTCTTGCCAGTCGATTAAATGCTCTCGAAAATCATAGATGTGTGCCAGAGCAATTGTCGCAGTTGCAAGTGACCTGGACCCAGGAATGAATCAGGTCCAATTTAAGCTGCACTCGTTTAACTATCCGTATCTGTATCTCTAATTCGGGCGGGATAGGCAAGCGCACTCTGTGTCATATTGATCTACAGCCTCATGTGATGACAATTTGAAAGCTTGCTAGAGTAAGGCGGTGCTTCGCTTATCCATGTGGCAGCGATTTTACAACAGCTGCCGCATTGAATTCGGGCTCCACACTAAGACTAAGTTTGCATGCAGTTCCCACATCTTTCGTTTAGCAACCGATTACCGATTCGCAAACGATTATCATGTTTATTCTATTCTATTCCATTCATTCATTATTGCTTTCCTGGTAGCTCTTTCCTACTTAATGCACTTTTCAGCATGCCAAGAGTTGATCTTTTACCACCGTCCCTCAGATAAATGTTCATTGTACTAATTTCTGTTTCTATGACTTCTTTTCCAAGGTGGCACTCCGCTGTTACCCTGCAATACGTCAGTGGGATCAACGGCGCTGCGACGCCCACAAAGTCAGAGTAATGCTGCAGGCGCATCGACCTCAACAGGAGGAGGAGGAGGTGGAGGAGGAGGAGGCAGCGGCGGCACACCCACACCACTCTACACCGGAAATGGTCCGGCAGCGCTGGGCGGAAGCGGAGTCCTCACGCCCGGCACTCCCACCTCCGGCAGCATGCTTAGTCCGGCGTTGGCCGGTGGCTCTGGCACACCAAACAGCGCGGCGCAGGAGTTCTCGTTCAAAGCCAAACAGGAGGTGTATGTGATGCAGCGCATATCGGAACTACAGCGAGAGGGATTATGGACTGAGCGGCGCCTGCCCAAGCTGCAGGAGCCCAGCCGCCCCAAGGCCCATTGGGACTACCTCCTCGAGGAGATGGTCTGGCTGGCGGCCGACTTTGCACAGGAGCGCAAGTGGAAGAAGAACGCGGCCAAGAAGTGCGCCAAGATGGTGCAAAAGTATTTCCAGGACAAGGCCACTGCTGCTCAGCGCGCGGAAAAGGCCCAAGAGCTGCAGCTAAGGCGAGTGGCATCCTTCATTGCGCGCGAGGTGAAGAGCTTCTGGTCGAATGTGGAAAAGCTGGTGGAGTACAAGCACCAGACGAAGATTGAGGAGAAACGGAAGCAGGCCTTGGACCAGCATCTCAGCTTTATTGTCGACCAGACAGAGAAGTTCTCACAGCAACTGGCCGAAGGCATGAACAAGAGTGTGGCGGACACGCCCAGTCTCAATTCCAGCCGTCTTACCTCGCCGAAGCGTGAGTCCGATGGTGAGTTAATCTTTCACACGACATTCCTGTAAATTAAGCACTTGATGATAAACTACACACTGAAACGTTGTTGTGGTCTATTTTTGAACACTTCGATGTTACCTTGGGATGGTCGCATTTGCGAGGCATTTGCCTGATGCTTTTGACTTCTAGTTTATTACGTCTTTTAAGCTTAAAACCAATTCTAATTGCAATATCTACCTCTTTATAGATGATTTCCGACCTGAGTCTGGCTCCGAAGACGATGAGGAGACCATTGCCAAGGCCGAAGAAGAGGCAGCCGATGTTAAAGACGAGGTGACGGCGCTGGCCAAGGAGTCTACGATGGACTTTAATGATTTCCTCAACGACCTACCGCCTGGCTATTTGGAGAATCGTGATAAGCTCATGCAGGAGGAGCAAAGCTCGGCCATTAAGACAGAATCTCCCGATGACAGCGATGACAGCGAGTTCGAGGCAAAAGAAACTAGTGATGATGACGAGAATACCATAAGTAAGCAGGAAGAGGCCGAACAGGAGGTTGACCACAAAAAGGAGATCGATGAGTTGGAGGCGGACAACGATCTCTCAGTCGAGCAGCTGCTTGCGAAATACAAGTCTGGTAGAGGAAGTGACCAGCCGCCTAGTCCGAAACGAAGAAAGCTGGCGCCTCGTGGACCTGAGCTTGACTCTGATGATGATTCGACGGCTGTCGATGACTCCACAGACGAGAGTGAAGATACCGAGGATGAAGAAGATCTTTCCACTATTAAAACTGACACTGATGTGGAGGAGCAGGACGAACAGGAGGACGGCCTCAAGAGTCTGATGACGGATGCCGACCCTACTAGTGGAGCTGCTGGAAGCGGCAGCACAGCAGGAGCAAGCGGCAACAAGGACGACATGCTAAACGATGCAGCCGCTTTGGCCGAGAGTCTACAACCCAAGGGCAATACCTTGTCCTCCACCAATGTGGTTACGCCAGTCCCCTTCCTGCTAAAGCACTCGTTGCGTGAGTACCAGCACATCGGACTCGATTGGCTGGTCACAATGAACGAGCGTAAACTTAATGGCATCCTGGCCGACGAGATGGGTCTGGGGAAGACGATCCAAACCATTGCTCTATTGGCCCATCTCGCCTGCGCTAGGGGTAACTGGGGACCTCACCTCATTGTGGTGCCTTCGTCTGTGATGCTCAACTGGGAAATGGAGTTCAAGAAGTGGTGCCCTGGCTTCAAAATACTCACCTACTATGGCTCCCAGAAGGAGCGCAAACTGAAGCGAGTGGGCTGGACTAAGCCAAATGCTTTCCATGTGTGCATCACATCCTACAAACTGGTGGTGCAAGATCAGCAGAGCTTCCGCCGCAAAAAGTGGAAATATCTGATTCTGGATGAAGCGCAGAACATTAAGAACTTCAAGTCGCAGCGTTGGCAGCTGCTACTTAATTTTTCCACCGAAAGGTTAGTATAAGGGGATGTGGAGTGCATTGCATTGCATTGCCTGCCGGCCAGCATCAAAAATCAGTAACCATGCGATTGCTAAACTAGCATGGCGACTACGCTTAGGTGCTAAAATTAAATTCGCTATAATGCCGCATACTAAACCAGAGCATACTAACCTGCCCTAGAATGCTTGTGGCCCTGTTTTGAGACAGATAACCAAAAAGCCCTCTACGACATTTGATTTAACAAGTACTTTTCCATTATTTCTATAGACGTCTGTTGTTGACTGGAACCCCACTGCAGAACGACTTGATGGAGCTGTGGTCCCTGATGCACTTCCTCATGCCGTATGTCTTCTCATCGCATCGCGAGTTTAAGGAATGGTTCTCCAATCCAATGACGGGCATGATTGAGGGCAATATGGAGTACAACGAGACTTTGATAACGCGTTTGCACAAGGTAAGCATAGCAGTGAAACTAAGATAAGGTTTTTGGGATTGTAAAGCACCTAAAAGCGTTTTCTTGTCGGCCCATTAAATGCTCTTGAAAATCGTAGATGTGTGCCAGAGCAAGGCTCAGCTGCAAGTGTTTCTGTGTTCTTCCATAGCAGAATTCCATACCGCTGACTATAAATGATTTTGAGTGTTTGTACCTAAAAGCGTTTTCTTGCCAGCCCGTTAAATGCTCTTGAAAATCGTAGATGTGTGCAAGAGCAAGCTTTACAATAGCAAGTGATATTAGTTCTTTAATAACTATGATCCGTTTACGTTGTGAACATCCTTTATAAGAATTTAAAGAAAGGTTTGAATAGTTTACGCAAACGCACTCTGTGTCACATTTTGTATTCCACGTGTGATGACAATTTGTCAGTTTGCCAAATTAAAGAGATGTGTCTTATCCATGTGGTCAAGCTCGACTAAGGGTGATTACATTGAAAACGCATTTCACACTGAAAAATAAAGTACCTAAAAGCACCTAAAAGCGTTTTCTTGCCAGCCCGTTAAATGCTCTTGAAAATCGTAGATGTGTGCAAGAGCAAGCTTTACAATAGCAAGTGATATTAGTTCTTTTATAACTTTGATCCGTTTACGTTGTGAACATAATTTATAAGAGACTAAAGAATGGTTAAAATAGTTTACGCAAACGCACTCTGTGTCACATTTTGTATTCCACGTGTGATGACAATTTGTCAGTTTGCCAAATTAAAGAGATGTGTCTTATCCATGTGGTCAAGCTCGTCTAAGGGTGATTACATTGAAAACGCATTTCACACTCAAAAATAAAGTATGTCCCATTGCACCTAAAAGCGTTTTCTTGCCAGCCTATTAAATGCTCTTGAAAATCGTAGATGTGTGCCAAAAAAATCCACACAATAGCATGTGATTTTAGTTTGCTAGCTCTAATCCGTTTACTTTGTGTACAATCTTTTTGTAAGAGAAAGTTCTGGACTTATAACCGTAATGCAAACGCACTCTGTGTCACTTTGATATTTAGCCTCATGTGATGACAATTTGTCAGTTTGCCAGATAAAGGAGATGCGTCTTATCCATGTGGTCAAGTTCACACCATGTTGCTCACATTGAAAACGCCCCTAACACCATATTTTTATAACATATTCCATAATTTCAAACTAAATGCGCAGTAATTAGCATATTGCCCTTATTCTTCCGTGCAGGTGATTCGTCCGTTCCTACTTCGACGCCTCAAGAAGGAGGTGGAAAAACAGATGCCAAAGAAGTATGAGCATGTGGTCATGTGCCGTCTGTCGAATCGCCAGCGCTATCTGTACGAGGATTTCATGAGTCGCTCCAAGTAAGTATTCATTTTTAAGGATTTCATAAAAGCCATATTGTTTACCATCCAATTTATGTTTCTCCTACAGAACTCGGGAAACCCTGCAAACTGGAAACTTGCTGAGCGTGATAAATGTTTTGATGCAACTGCGAAAGGTGTGCAATCACCCGAACATGTTCGAGGTGCGACCCACCATTTCGCCATTTCAAATGGCGGGCATTACATTCCACACGCCGCGTCTCGTCTCCGACATAATGGAGTATGATCCGTTCACGGTGAGTCAAAGAAGTGTCCTCCCAATCCATTTCCCCCGGATTTTTTTTTGAAATGTTGAAAATGATGTTAAACTGTCACTGATAGTTGGGCTTAATCTATTTTGGAGAGAGTCGTAAACTTTTCCCAGGATGTTCGCATTTGCGAGGCATTTGTCTGATTCGATTGTTCATGAAAATAATTTGTAGATATATTGAGAAATAAGTAAATCAACTAATTTGATCATACTCTTATCGTTGCAGCAAATCAATCTAGAGACGGTGAACCTTCTGTTACTGCATCTGGAGCAAACTATGACCGCCTACGTCTCGCACAAATCTCGCCTACTCGCCCCGCCTCGAAAGCTTATCGAGGATATCGATACAGCACCCCAACCGGCTCCCCGTTGTCCCAACGGAAAATACCGCTTTCACATTCGCGTGCGGAGTGCCGAGTTGGCGCAGCGCATCAAGCTGAATGCGGTGAGGGTAGGAGCCAGTCCGGCCATGCGGATGGAGGGCTCAAAGGTTGTGCCAATGCGCAGTCTGCTACCGAGCGGTAGGGTTTTGAAAAGGGTCGGTGGCTCGATTAACCCTGTGAACATGGCACTGAAGCCAGTGGTGATTAACAGTGTGGTGACAACAGCTTCATCGACCGCATCCTCTTCTCCTACTGGAGCATTGAGTGTACTCAGCAACTCCAAGTTGCTGGGGGCACGCTCGCAAATAAACGCACCAACGCCCGCTAAAGTAGCAAAGACGATGCAGGATGGCAAGCCATTTTTCTACCTCACACCGGCGACGAATTCCGGAGCAGCAGGAGCCCGCCTGACACTGACGAGTAAAACCACAGCCTCGGCGGCCACAACGAGTTCCGGAACAACAGTGGCTGCTGCTCCAACCACTGCCCAGCAATTGATAAGGGACCCCATTGTCAAGGATCTAGCAACGCATGTAAAAAGCACAGCACAAAAGCAAAGCATTGCCAATGGGAAAACGGAGCCCGAGGAGGAAACTGAAACCGAGGATCCCTACAAGGTGCAGGAGCTGATTCAGATGCGCAAGGAGCAGCGATTGGCTTCCCTCAAACGTATGGCAATGGTGAATCGTCGGCGCAACGATGCCACTCCGATATACGGCGAGGACTGTCGCGGAGCTATTCAGCGCTGTATGCAGGCGACGCGATCGCTAAAGCGATCCACCTGGCAGACGCGTGGCTATGCCAATTGCTGCACGGCAATGTTGCACCGGGATGGCTGGTCACTGAACCACTTGCTAAAAAGCTACGAAGAAAGATGCGCAGATCTAAAGCCGCTGTTTGCCAACTTTGTAATCTATGTTCCTCCCGTGTGTGCGCCCCGAATTCGACGCTATGTGCAGAACCTTTCATCGACGAACTGGCAGTGTGAACGCCAAATCGAAGAAACTGTGGGTCAGGCCCTGCTGCCAAAGCTGGCACTGTTGCATCCAATCATTTCGGCAATGACCACACAGTTCCCGGATCCGCGTCTCATTCAGTACGACTGCGGAAAGTTGCAGACCATGGATCGTTTGCTGCGACAGTTGAAGGCTGAAGGGCATCGGGTACTGATATTCACTCAGATGACGAAGATGCTGGATGTTTTGGAGGCCTTCCTTAACTATCATGGCCACATCTATCTTCGTTTGGATGGATCCACGCGGGTGGAACAGCGCCAGATACTTATGGAGCGCTTCAATGGCGACACAAGAATCTTCTGTTTCATCCTCTCCACGAGGTCTGGTGGAGTGGGAATCAATTTGACTGGTGCCGATACTGTGATCTTTTATGACTCGGACTGGAATCCCACCATGGATGCGCAGGCCCAGGATCGATGTCATCGCATTGGCCAGACACGAGATGTCCACATCTACCGACTTGTCTCCGAAAAAACCATCGAGGTGAACATCCTCAAGAAGGCAAACCAAAAGCGGATGCTCAGCGACATGGCCATCGAAGGGGGCAACTTCACCACCACATTCTTCAAGAGTTCCACCATCAAGGATCTCTTTACGATGGACCAGAGCGAGCAGGACGAGACGAGTCAGGAGAAGACCGAGAACAAGGACAAGATTGTGGCAACGACAACCACTACGGTTGTCGACACGGCAACGACAATTGTGGAGACGGAAAAACAGTCTCTGCGCGCCTTCGAGCACGCGTTGGCCGCCGCCGAGGATGAGCAGGATGTGCAGGCCACCAAGACGGCCAAAGCCGAGGTGGCTGCAGATCTGGCCGAGTTCGACGAGAACATTCCAATTGCAACGGAAGAGGCGAACGCGGAAGGAGGTGCTCAGGTGGAACTTAGCAAGGCCGATCTGGAAATGCAGAACTTGGTGAAGCAGGTAAGTTGATGGACAACTAAGATAGTTGACATAGGATTATTTAGTGCCTGTTAAAGTGTTTGATCATTACCACAGTTAGAAGGTTTTCGTTTCGAAATTGTTGCAGTTCTTGCATTTTATACAGAAAATTTGCATTTCTATGCGATTTCGGTGAAGTGAGCATTGCGCAGAACAATTTTTCTTCGGAAAGTAGACCTTCAGACATAGTTGAGGCGACATAACCTACGCCACGATTGTATCACTCAACGTCTAACATTTCCTAACACTGTACAATTTTGGCATAACTTGCAACATATATTGGAATTCGCATTTCAATGCGGTTTCGATGATGCGAGCATTGCCAAGAGCAAACTCTCTCCGGGGAGCAGACCTTCAGACATAGTTGAGGCGACATAACCCACGCCACGATTGTATCACTCAACGTCTAACATTTTCGAATGTGATTATAGTGTTTAAGAAGCCCTTGAAAGGAATCATTATACTAATGACTTACACGTTCTTATCATTACACAGCTCTCTCCTATCGAGCGTTATGCCATGCGCTTTGTGGAGGCCACTGGAGCGGCGTGGACAGCGGAACAATTACGGGCCGCGGAGGCCGAACTGGAGGCCCAGAAACGCGAGTGGGAGGCCAACAGACTGGCGGCCATGCACAAGGAGGAGGAACTGCTCAAGCAGGAAACTGAAGCCGAGGAGATGCTTACCTACAGTCGCAAGGATTCAAGCAATCAGGTTAATACCAAACAAGATTCCACTTCCAATAAGCGACCAGCGGTGAGGGCAAATCGCAGCCGGTCAGCTCAGAAGCTAAGCCGGAGTGTCAGTAGCCATAGCAACAGTAGCAACGGCAGAAGTAAGAGATCGGCTCCGATTCGGGGTAATCTCCAGAACAGCCACAATTCGAGTGCTCCCGTGGGGTCAGGATTAGGCACAGGAAAGAGGACGGTGGTGGGGGTGGGGATGGGGGTCAGCAGCAGTAGCCGAAGCAGTAGTAACAACAAGAGGTCCACGACGGGGCTCAAGAGTACAGTTGCCGCAACGACGGTGCGGCGGCACACCCGTCTCCACTCGCTGGGCGCGGTCAACATGGCCACTGTTCCAACACCGCCCACTAGAAAGACAACACGCACAGCTTTGGCTGCTTCTGCAGCCGCATCTGCTCTAGAGGATTCCTCTTTGGCCACCGAAGAGCGTCCCAAAAGGCAATCGGCCAATATCGCCATGAGCAAGATGATGAAGACGCCTCTCAAATCCAATGCAATGGCAAGCAACAACAGTGTAAAGACAACCCCAACCAAACGGGGGCGAAGAGACAGTGTTGCTGTGGCCGCAACACGCAGAAAATTGCTGAAGAGAAGGGCTACCATTGCAGTTCCTTTGAAACATATGGATGATGACAGTGAGCCAGATGAGGAGGATGAGGATGACCAGCAGGAGTCCGCAGAAGATTCCGAAGACGATGACGCAGTTGCCACTGTGGACGATGAGGATGAGGAGGAGACAGCTGGCTCGGCGCTCGAAGAAGAGACCACGCAAGATGAATCGCAAACCAACGACGATGATGACGATGACGACGACGACGACGACGACGACGAAGAAGAAGCCGATGAAGGGGCAACGATTGATGTTGATACCGAGGACTCCGAGGCGGAGGTCAAGTCTAGCTCCACTTACGGCACAGCCGATGGTAATGGAGAGGAAGAAGCCGGCAGCTTGGATGGCTGGGATGCACACGATCAGGTGCAGGACACCACCATGACTAGCTCTACGTACTACAATGTCAGCGAGGAGTCGGACACGGATGAGCAACACGATGGCAAAGCGGAGGTCCACAAAGAGCCACCACAGCATTCGGATAAGAGTGATGAGAGCGAAGCTGTTGGACACACGCCACGAACTCGTTCGCGCGGCTCGGTGAAGATAAATCTGTGGACCCTTGACATGAGCCCAGCGGTGAACACATTGAACAGAAGCAGCGGTGCCAATAAAAGCGTCAGAAGGACTCCTAGGAACGAGTCCACGCCGAAGCAATCTCAGAGCGAGCCGAGGCGCAAAGTGGCCCAGAGAATGCCGGTAAAGCGGGAGGACACCCAAAACAAATCCATCAGCAATGCCAATACCCTGCATCGGTGGATAACCAAGTCGCCCAGGGTGATGCTCAGATCCACTCCTGCCGCTGCTCCCGGCGGCTCTAATTCCTCGCCAGCTGTTAGTGGTGTTTCGGGATTAAATGCGTCCGCGACCGGAGCAACCAGGTGATGATGTTCACGCTCATCCCTCAGTCAGTATTATCAGCTGTGTGTGCTGTGTGCGTTTTAGTGGGCGACGAATTGTCCGCAGGGAGACGGGTCCTTCCGCGGGATGTTACTACTGCCAGGCGGTGGCTGCTGCCAATTGATACAAAACGAGTATTTATAGACTGTAACGAGTTTCCTTCTATCATATGAGCTAAGTTAGTTAGGCGGCGGAACCAATGCGAAAGTCTAGAATAACAAATTCAACTTAACTTGGTCAAAGCGATTGATCGACTGTTTGAGGGGCAGTAGGCCCATGATATAGCGTAGCGGATAGCATAGATATAGGTCACCGGGGAGCTAATGACTTCTGGGTTAGCTTTGTAAGACTTCTCAGATTGTACATAGGGTAAACTTAAAGTAACCAAAATTCGACCATAAGCATCAAAAATACCACATCCTCGATTGTTGTTGTTAAAATATGTTTGTCAAAAAAAAACCAATCGAGAACGCAGAACGAACACTCTCCTCCCACGGAACTGCTTTAGTTCGTAAGCCTAGGTATACTATATAACTGTTAAATATTTTTGCATTCTATAATTTATTTTGTACTCTAACTTAAACGAATAACTACCAATCTAAAGACTATGAGCATAGATTGACTAACCAATAAAACAGAACTCAACTCGTATGCTTTAAAAAGTATAAACATCCATTGATTGTGTAACAAGAGAATACCTATAAAAAAGAAAAGAAACCGAAACAAAGCTAAATCTGAAACAAAACTAAAAGACGTTGTGGTTTTTATTTACGGACTAATTTCGTGCGTTGATCCAAAGAAAAAGAATAACAATTCCTCACTAGAAGCAGAAAGTTGGAAAAGAATGAGCGTAAATCATTCAAAGATTGTTAAATATTATTTTCTCAAATCACATGTAGAATTCTGTTTTGGTGTCGCAATTACAATCCGATTGTCTTATCACAGTTCGAAGTATTCTGTCCATGTCTACGAATCCCTTTTAAGTTACCTTTTCTTCCCTCTTAACTCTATGCGCCGTACGAAAGATAGAAATTGTTCGGAATGAAAGCTACAACGCCATAAATTTGAACCAGCTCAAATTACAAGCAATACGTTCAATAAAAAATAGTTTCTAAGCCTAAACACCAAAACAGAGTTGCTATATCTTGAAAATAATGTGGAACGTCTATTCTTTTCTTTAACTTTCTTGGCTAACTTCTGGTCCAGGTCTGGATATCGCGCAACACCATGGAACAGATGCCGGTAAGTTAGAGGGTTTGTGATTCACCAGTCAAAGCTCATAGTTCTAATCTCTTGTGATCCCTTGACTAGATGTGGTGTCCACCCACGCCGCCGCAGGACGACGATAATGACATATACATCGACTACTCGCTGTCGTTCATGTACGAGCTGGAGCCCATTGCCGAGATGGATCTGCCGCCAGTCTACGTGCGCAAGGAGCACAAGCGCTCGCGCACCGACGCTGGGTACGATGGCAGCCGAAGGCCAAATAAGATGCGCCGGGAGGATAACTACGTGCCCCCCAGATCGCTTTTCGATCGCCCAACTCCGCAGCTGGCCCGTCTGCGTCGCGAGCTGAAGAGCCAGCGATTCCGCGGCAGCTTCAAGCCGAACTCGCCGATTCCAGGCCTGAAACCCCAACTGCCGGCCAAACCCCTCACCGAACCGGAAGCCATGGCCGAGTGGGGCGTCTTCGAGGACATTGCCATTCTGCACGTGCTGGTGAATCTGCAGGGATTGCCCTGCAGCCTCATGCTGCTCTCGCCGGGCCAGACGCCCAACTGGGACCTCGTCTCCGAAATGGTCAACTTCTGTTCGAAGACCTATCGTTCGGCACGGCAGTGCCGTTGGCGTTACGAAACCCACATTCAGCCACGCGAGGAGGGCAAGGTGGTGGAGAGTCCCAAGAAGCAGAAGAAGATTAAGCCCACGCTAAAGTCCGAGTACCTGAAGAGTCCGCTGCGATATCTGCGAACCACCCAGATGTATGTAAGCGACAACAACGCCTCGTTCTACAAGACGATGCGCTCCCGCTTCGACAGCATTAAGACGGCCTACCTGAAGAAGGCGCCGCCGCCAAAGCGCCAGTTCAGTGCTCCCAGCCTAATGAACCCCAAGCACCTGGAGGTGCTGCAGGAGTTCGGCATTCAGAACTACGATCAACCGGTGCCGCCGCAGAACATTGCGGCCATGAAGGCGAACAAGATTCGGGAGAAGCAGCGTGGACAGCAGATGTCACAGGCTGCCGTTGGCGTGGGAGTGGTTCAGCAAGTGCCGCAGCAAACGCAGCAGCAACAGCCGGCACCACCTCCACCGCAGCAGCAACAGCAGCAGCAGCAACAAGTGGTCCAGCAGGTGCAACAGCAGCAGCAGCAGGTGGTGCAGCAGCAACTGCCCACTGTATCGACGGTTCAACAAACTCTGCCGGTTCAACAGACAGTGGAGCTGGTGCAGCAGCAGCAGCAGCAGCAGCAGCCGAGCACCACGACAACGGTGGCTGTGCCCGCCGCCGGTCAATTGCAGCAGCTCCAGATCCAGCACTTGACCAGTTCCAATGTGTCGCCCGGCCAGCAGACCGCCATTCTGCTCCACCAGCCGCAGCAGCAGTTGCGCACGCATCCCAACCAGGCGGGCCAGGCCAACACCCAGCAGCTGGTCAAGACTATTGTGGGCACATCCTCCAGCCTGACGGCGGGCCAGTTGCAACAGCTGGCCCAACAGTCGGCCGCCGCTTCCGGTGGACAGTCCAGCGTGAGTGTGGTGCTGACCACGCCAGTGCAGACTCTGCCAGCCGTGGTGCAACCGCAGATCGGCTCCGGTGCCCAAATCGTATCGATCTCGTCGCAAACGCTGCCCGTGAACAGTTCCCCGCAGCTGGGCAGCATTGTGCAGACGCAATCCCTGCCGCAGGTGGTCTCGGTCAGCACTCTGCCCACCGTGGGCACTGTGCTCACCACCACCGCCAGTCAGCAGCAACAGCAGCAGCACCAGACCACAGCGGTCACCACCCTGAACACGGCCATGTTGCGGGGCCAGCGGATTGTGTCGACAGCGGCTGGGAATACGCTGCAGCAGCGAACCACAGCCGGCGGTCAGTCCATTGTGTCCATGCCGAATTTGGGACAGGGCGTGAGTCCGGCGCAGTTCCAAACGCAGCTCCGTTTGGCAGCCGTGCCCACTTCCCCAGCCACGCAGACCACCCAGCTGGTGACCACAAAGGGCATTCCGGTGAGTGCCCTTCAGCAGGGTGGAAAGACCACGGTGATACCGGGTGCTCAGCAGCCGGGAGGAGCACACATCCAGCTCTATCGGCAGCGCAGCTTGAAGGTGTTGCAGACGACCACTCAGGCGGTGGCGGGTGGATCAGCTGGCGGCACGACAGGCGCAACTGCTAATCTGGTGCAAGCGGGAGGCACCATAATCCAGACCAGCAACATGAGCGCCCATGTGACCAGTCAAAAGGTGGCCGTTGCCGGGATGCCGGGAACCTCCACCGCCGTGCAGGCGGGCAATGTGGTTAGCAGCGTTCAAATGCACGGCCAGGCCAGGACGCAGTTCATCAAGCAGATGGCGGCCGGGAAGCAGCAGTTGCAGCGCCAAGTGGTGTCCGCCGACGGGACAACCACCACTGCCGGCACCGGGGACATGTTGCTGGTGAAGCGGCACAATATTCTGGCCGCCCAAAAGGCTCAGCAGGCCTCTGGAGCGCTCTTCACCACCACCAGCGCTGCCCAGCAGCAACAACAACAGCAGCAGCAGCAGCAGCAGCAGGGCCAACTTCCAGTGGCCGGTCAGCAGCAGCAGGTGACCCAGCAGCAGATCGCCTCGCTGGTGAAAGCCTCTACGGCGGCTGCGGCTAGCGGAAGCAGTGTCAACGCCGGCGGGGTCACGGTGTCGGCCACAAATCCCGCTGTGCAGGCGGGAAGCGTGAATATGACCCTGCCGCAGCTGAAACCAGGCAGCCAGATAAAGGTGACTATGCCCAACCAGATGCGGCATCTGCAGATGCAACATCAACTGACGATGCCGCGTAAGATCAGCCGGATGACGCAGCTGGTCAGTGCCAGTGGTCAGCCCACGGCCACCAATATAGTGACGACCACTGGTCCCCAGCAACAGCAGCAGCAACAGCAACAACAGCAGCAGCAGCAGGGAGTGACAGTCTCTGGCGGCGGCACTTTGCCCACCGTGGCCTCGCAGCAGCAGCAGCAACAGCAGCAGCATCAGCAGAAGGTGGCCGGTGGCAACAGTGTCCAGGCCCAGTTGCTGCACATCCAGAACACAAAGTCGCTGCCCAATTCGGTGACCGTGCAGCAGATCCAGCAGGTGATGCGCAGTGGCCAACAGGGCACCCTGGCCACCACCAACCTGGTGCTGGGTAAGACGAGCGTGGGTCGAGTGATTCCCGTCTCTGTGGCGTCGCAGCCCAACCAGCGTCAAACTATTCAGGTGGGTTAACTATCTCTCGGAAAAGTTCCCTTAGTAATTGAATTAACTGAATCCCATTTATCCTTAGGTGGTTTCGGCTGCCTCCGCTCAGGCCTTGGCTGCGGGCAATCTGCGCACCCATGTCGGTGGCCCGAGCATTGCCAGTGCCCTGAAAGTGGCCGCCTCTGGAGGAGCTGGAGGGCAGACCACGCAGCAGACGCTGATCGCTGCACTGCAGCATAATCAGCGGCAGAACGCCAGTCCCGTCCGCTTGCAGACCACCGCAGGTGGCAATCTCCTGGCAGTTGTGCAGCAGCAGCAGCAGCAGCAACAACAACAGCAGCAGCACACGAGCATTGCAGGACCCACAGCTGGACCGGCGGAGGTGATGACCATCACGCAGACGACCACCACGTTGCCCACTGTTGCCAGCCTGCAGCAGCAACAGCAGCAACAGCAGCAGCAGCAACAACAGCAGCAGCAACAACAGCAACAGGGAGGCATATCGCAGCCTACAACGCAACAGGTACGCAAGCTGGTGCAAAAAAAGATTCTGATACGCAGCGAGAAAGAATAACGCTCGAGCAGGGCCGCCAGACCACGACACCGGCGGAGCATCTCGAGCATCATTTCCACTGCCACCGCCACCGCCACAGCCACCGCCACCTTCAACACACCAAATCAGATTCAAATTCCACAAGCACACCAAAATCAAGCACCAACAACTCAGTCAACAGCCAATCAATCTGATCCTTTCGAATTTCAAGATCGAACAAATCTCAATAGCTCATCCCACGCCGATCCTCATGCATTCAATCAGTCAGTCAGTCAATCAGTCAGTCATTGCCTAAATTGATCTCAATATCTGTCGATTGGTTTTACAGCCATGAGCGAATGGCGATCGACACGATCCGTTCGATCAAACCGCTCGCTCTGGAGGATGATGAGCTGAAGGTGAGACGCTGACGAGGACGACGATGGGATCGCTTCAATCAGCTGAAGGCATGACCGCCGTATTACTACTCTTACTGATCCATAGATATATTGTACCAATTAGTTGTAATCTATTCATTTTACGATCCTAGTTTTACCGAATGCAAACAGTGCCTAGTTCGTAGGCTAACTGCTTTAAATTCAACTTGTAAATCGTAGCTAACTAAGGTCTCAGCCCTCGGTTCCCGTAGTGCAGTATGTACATTCGTAAATCTAATACAGATCTATCCGATACTACATAAATACCCCTAAATACATACCTATAAACATTTAGTTTTTATTTACCTTACCGATAACTTATGCCCTAGTATTAACAAACAAACGCAAATAAAGAAAAACATGTAAAAACCAATATTGTGTTATATGTAGTAATAATTGGAGAAAAGAGTACCCTTATTGCATGTTGCCCTATGGTGGATACTTAATTCGGTTTCCAAGGCAACCGTTTTCCATTTAACCACAACATGTGGAACTAACTCAAAACTGGAGTCGAACGGTTCCACAAATCAGTTGCAACATGTCGCTGTTCAATGTCTGCAGCTGGTGGTCAGCCCAGTGCTCCGATCCTGGAGAGGAGTACGACGTGGCCAGTCTGCTGTGCGCCCGCTTTGGTCTGGAGGATCAGGAGAAGGACTACATCATTGTGGGCTCCCAGACGGGGCAGCTGAGTATCTACTATCCGCACCGCCGGGGCTTCGATGCCACCGACCTGCTGCTGGAGACCCAGATGGTGGCCCCCATCCTGGGGTTGTATGCCGGCAAGTTCAGTGGGTGAGTTTGCAATGGCTCCAAGTTATGGATTTCTGTGACTACTATAACTGGTGCTGCATCCATCACGCAGAAATGTTCGCAATGAGAACACCAATCAGTTGGGCGTTCTCCTGCCCAACGCAATTGTTATCTACAATGTTGTGGCCATCGGAGGACTGGCGGACCACGGTGCCCAGTTGCGGCTCCAGGTGCAGGCGGAGCACAAGTTCCAGCGCGTGGCCTTCGGCCTTTGCCAAGGTCACTTCGGCCAGGTTAAGGGTCGGGAGTTCTTCTGCGTGGTCCATCTGGATGGCACACTGACTTTCTATGAGCAGGATGGCATCTCCTACGAGTGCCGATTCCCTGGTCACCGGGCACTTCCGGCTCCGGTGGCCTACTGCGAGCGCACCGATAGCTTCTTTCGGTTCAGTGCCACCTGGGATCTGCAGTGCTACAGCTACCAGGATCTGTCCCACTCGCTGGTCACCAAGAGCAGCTACCAGCCCACCTGGACGCAGTGCGTCGGCGAGGGCATTGTCGATATGCGGGTGGTTCAAGTGAAGGAGTGAGTATTGCGGATGATCGCTGGAATGTCGCTACCTGAAAGTATGCCACACTTCTCTAATGGAACTGTTTTGCCTAGGAACTGTTCCTATATCATGATCCTAGGCGAGCGAAACTTCATCTCACTGGACGACAATGGGAGATTTAACTTTATGCTCAAACTGGACTATGCTCCAAAATGCTTTACCAGCTTCGTGGTGGGCTACTACTGGGGTGAGTGTCTCTTCATATATCATCATATTTGATCAGCATCACTAGGGGAATCGACTTAGCCATGTCCGTCATTACAGTTTCTCAGCTTAAAAGCTATTTGGTTACAAGTTTCCCATTGCAGTTAGTATATACATATGTAAGTCGTATAAGAAGTATATATGTAAAACAAATGTATGAAAAAAAGTTATAACTTTGCTCTTATGATTTGTAATATACTTATATTATATATATAATTTCGGAACGATCGAACAATTTCAGATTACAATCGAAATGGTTTCGTTATTTTAAAACAAATACGCATTTAAATCGAAATGTAGTTGCGTTATAGAACATTCTTTTTCTACAATTTAAATTAAATTCATGTTTTTTACTGGGTACCAATTCCTAGAGCCCGGAGCGCGCCTTATCAGCGCCATTATTTCGGACTCCTCCAAGTTGCATCTGTATGAAGAGGCCAACATCATTTGGGCGGCACAGTGGCCCAACCAAATGCCCGCACCGGTGGCCATTCAGCGCTCCAATGTCCACAATCTGGCCGGAGGAATCGTGACGCTGGGCGCCCGGGGTCAACTCGAGGTGGGCTACCTCGGTGCCGATCCCTACCAGTTCCAGGTGCAGCCTCTGGACGTGGAGGAGCTGAGTTTCGCCCAGGCGCACAGGGAACTGCAGCAGCTCGAGGACGAGATCAAGGAGGCGGTGGATGTGCGCGACATGGATGCCCTCAATCAGCAGGCGGCGGATCAAGTGCGCCTGAGTTTCAGCATCCAGACGGAAGCTAGCGATGATCTGGACACCCTGCTGTTGGACGTGCCGGCGGATGTGGCTGTCAAGGAGTTGCCGTCGGCCAAGGGCTTACTGCGCTGCAAGATTAGGGCGGAGCTGGCCGAGCTGCAGCTGGTGTTCCAGACGCCCAACGGAGTCCGTTGCAGTCAGGATACCTTGAGCTTTGTGGATGTGCCGGCGGGCACGAGTAAGGAACTCAAGCTGGACTTTTATATTGCCGAGCTGTTGCATGTCCACAGCACCAAGGTGGAAGTGGTGGCCTCCTTTTTGAGTACCAGGGTGAGTAAAGGGGTGCCATCACTTACATTCTTCTAAGTGATTATGCTTCCCCAAATCCTCTCCAGGGAATCCCGCGAGTCATTCAGCAGAGCGCCAATCTCCCGCTGTCCATGTTCTATCGCGTTTGCCAGCCCCAAAAGGCGGCTGGGATCAAGCTAACCTACAGCATAACCAGTCGCCATGTGACCCCCAAGCTGGCCACCTTTTTCGGGGAGTTCCTGGAGGAGCAGAGCGATGCCCATGCCCTTGGACTCCATTTGCTCTGTCCGGGTCTGGAGAAGCAGAGTGAAGTAATCACCGTGGTGGCTGCCAAGAACTCCAATCGCATTCGCATTCAGTCCGACTACGTGGAGACCTTCGCCATGATCCTGGAGCGCGTTGTGGAGCGAACGCTCCAGTTGGACAGCTCAGCGGGTCTGATCAAGATGGACAAGAAGAAACCGAAGCGCGGAGTCCTCAATCGTTGTGTGGAGCGCCTGATGGCCGCTCCATTCCTACCCGCCCAGCCCATCCTCCATCGGATCGATGTCCACCACGAAACCCAGCAGAGCATTCGGAAGCAAACGGTAAATAGGGATTTAATTTTAGGGAAATAAACCTTTAAAAAGTTTAAAATAATAACAGGAACACAAAATCCAACTTCTCTATATTTATTTTTTTACCTTTCCATAATAATTGGGTGCTTTTCAGCCAAATTTACATTGCTCAAGAGTTCCGTGGTATAGTTAAGGATATGAAAATCTAATGTTGGCATCGTTTTTAGTTATTTAGCCCAAGTAATTGAAAAAAACTTAATTTTTGGTTGCTTAAAAAAACAATACTTTGGTATATGCCGTCAAAGTTGAAATTTCCAATTTTACACAATGTCTCCCATCTTTAAGTGTCTCTAAAAAGTATATTCTTATAGCAATAATTTTAATTTCTCTTGGAATCTACAGGTCTCTATAGGCTTTAAATTTGGGTTTTTAATTTTATTTCCTATAGTGCAGTATGCCACTCAGGAGCACTAAACATTCAGGGAAAACTACAAAAAGTTATTGGAATTAGGTGGATTTAATTAATGTAAGGGTTTTTTCCGTATTTATTTGCAGGACCAACTGGAGGATCTGTGGCAGCAGTTCAAGACTCTTCAGCGCCAACTGCAGGAGCAGTCTGAGGGTGAGCCCAAGGAAGCCCTTACCATGCAAATCGAGTCCAACTACGACCAGCTAATCCTGGAGGGCGACAAGCTGGTGGAGATACGCCGCGACGAACGCAAGTAGGTACATATTGGCCGTTCGATAATTACCCACACACTAATTGCACTAACTCCACGTCCCAAAGCCACTGAAATAATTGACATGCTTATACCCAGCACTTGTAAAGGATAAGTTGTGTATTTATTTATTTATTTATTTACTTATTTATTAAGACCAACTGGTCTATAAGTGGTTCATCTAATAATTAGCAGTGATTTTAATAATTTTCTACGAATATTTTGTTATAGATTCCATCAATTTAAATTGATGTTAAATGTTAAATTTAAAGTATGTAATATTAAAAAGCTTAAAATATTAAATTTATAGAATAAAGTTTATTTTTTTTTAATCTTTCGTCTTTTGCTTTTTAAACTATTATTTAGGTATATATATAGTTGTATTCTTAAAATAATTTCGTTTCAACAAGAATATCCCTGAATTTTTTGAGTACACGGTATTCTGCAACGCAATGACTGAAATATCCTTCCAACCGTTTTATCGATTTCAGACAGCGCTGCGACCTCAATTGCGCCGTGTCATTAGCCAAATGGATAATTCATGCATTGAACCTGGAGGAGCGAGTGGTCAATGTTGTCAACTCAGTGCTGAGTGTGCCCATCGAGGACTGGACGGAACTGGTAAGACATTTAAATATTAAATGTGGAAAACAAAAGAAAATATTAGCTAAAATAATTATCACAGAGTTGGGAGGAATCGATGGCGCCCGGCATCGATATGCTGCATCATTTTGGGCCGCTGACCCGCTCAAAATCCACGTCCACACATGGACTACTGGATGCCAACGCTGGATCCAGGGACAGTTTTGATTACAGCAGGTTTAGGCGACACTTCGCCACTCTTTTTGACCGGATTGTCAGATTGGCCTCCTCCCCGGTGGCAGTATACCCGGAAAAAGCACCGGAAGAACCCTCCACGAAGGAGAAGCCACCGCCGCCACAGCAGGTCGATGAAATTGGGAATATGCAGCGAATGCTGGGGGAGAAGGGTTTGCCTCTTGCTCCTTCGAAGCGTAAAACCAATATGAGCAGCTCCCTGGAGGCAGTGGAAGACGACGATGAGGAGTACGACGAGGAGGATCTTCGCGAGGATGTGGGCTACCGCAAGGAGTATGGAGCAACCGATCAGAAGAGCGCAACCAACAAGAACCGATCCGAGTGGGTCAACGAGGACTTCGAGCTGCCCACCACCGAGGAGCTGTTTAGCGACCTAGGCATCTGGTGGTAGTCGTCGGTTCTTGGGTGATGGTGAGGGTTTTGGCTGAGGGAGTTCCAGCTCCAATAAACGTGCAAACTGTCAAAACAGAGATCTTTATTGGCTCGCTCTCGACTCGACTCGACAGAATGACAGGCCGACAGCTGCTGGGCCCGAGATCTGCGATTGTGGCGGCGATAAAGCTTCGTAATCGGAATTTGCATAACCAGCAACGACAGCCAGCCATCCAGAATCTGTGGGAGTGCGGAGATTTGTGTGGACAGGACAGGACGGAACAGGACAGGACAGGTCAGGACGGGACAGGAAAAGACAGGAACAGGAAAGCAGACTCGCTTATGATGCATAGCCGCAGATAAAGCAAGATAAAAGTCAAGGCAGAGGCTTCACTGTGGCCCGTTTGAAAGTGGGCAGTGAGTGGAGGAAGCAATGCACAGTAACAAAAAGTGTTACAGTTGTACACATATTGTGGTTTTTTCTTTAGCGCTTATATAATTTAAAATCCTGATATGATTTGATTTGATTTCTTAGTTTTTTTTTTTTTTTATTATTATTTTACCTATTTTCATGATAGAAATGATGTCAAATCCATAGACATATTACGTTTTAAGTGCTTTAATTTTAAATTCAAAATCCTAATTAATTTTTTCCTGTGCACAACTCTAGCTGGGACAGCTGCTGTGATCCCTTGTTGGCTGGCTCCACATGCAATCCCACACATGGCGAGCTGAGTTATAGGAGTCACTGTCTGATCTGGACTTCAGCTGCAGTGGCTGGACCGTAAATTGCCCTCGATTGACTGCAGGAATGTCAGGTCTGTCCTTAGGTTTGTTTGTTTGTTGTGTTGCCCAGATTGGAACCGAATCTGTCTACGTCATCGGAGTGCATTGCGCACATTGTTTATGCGTGGCTCGTGGACGGCCTGTTATATGTGCAGGGGGTGCAGCTGGCTCATTGATGAATTAACAGCTTTTTAATGTGATCCTGAGTAATTAAAAATTAATTTGCGGCTTGATGATGGCACATACACATCATCGTTTCAGGATGGGTCAGTCACATGCAGCGAGGCGTGAAAAGTATACAAATGCACCTTGGGCTAACGTTTAAAAACATGAGATTCTTATTTCATATTAAGTTTTTGGCTAATTTATTATAAAGAAGTTATTTTAAAAGTGAGAAAAAAGGTTTTTAATTTAAAGGTTCTTTTACTTGTGGCAAATCAACCAAATCTTTAAGGACCGAGATTAATAGACCAACAGCAAATGCATTTTAAAACCAAAAATCCACATCAAAAATCAGTAGTTTCGTTAAGATGGCTCCTACCAAGTATACCAAAAGCACAATTAAAATATTATTATTAACTTTATTAAATCATCAAGTGATTTTTATTTGTTTCTTAATTTATGATAAATACGCAATACCTTTAAATCGATATGTTTTTAAGCGTTAATGATAATTACGTTTACGTATAAGTAAATACCTCCTTATGAGTAAGGCACTGCCGAGATTTGTGATGCCCGAGCCCAGTGTCCGAGAACCGCTTTCGATTGTTTCCGTTAACATTAATAATTGAGTGCCCGCTGAATTGGCAATTAGCAACAAGCCAAATTTAGCAGCCGGAACGACGATAAACAAAACTTGACGTATCAATCAGGGGGAGCAATTGTCGAAAGAAAGTAATAAAAATCGAGGTGTTTTGATTAGGTTCATTAGCAATAATTTATTTTAGTTTGGTTTCCACCGTTTGGTTCATTAGCTAGTACAAATTATAGTTGGGATTGTATTGCTCCTTGATGGAGCAGAGGGCGGGGTACGCCGGATTGCTGCCCGTCCGGCATTCCGAGGCGGGCTCTCCGGCATTGTAAACCGGCACTCCGATGGCATAGACACTGGCGTAGTTGCAGGCGGTGTTGTAGATGTACAGGAAGGGGTACTGCGGATTGGTGAAGCGCATCATGGCACAGCCCACATGGGTATTCCGGTCCACCACCGTCTCCACAAAGTGTCCGTACTTCTCACTGATAAATAATCAAAAAAGGGAGTTAGTGGGCTGGGTCAGTGGGGAGATCTGGGACAACGGACGACTTACAGATTACTGGTGAGCCGGAAGTCAGTTATGTAGCTGCTGTCGATCAGCTTGTGCTCCCCGAACCACAAACCCAGTGACTGTTCCACCAGATTGGTCACGTTCATCGGCCAGTTCCGCGGGCGATCCACTCCGCATAGATTCTGACCCAGATTCCTGAAGCGGAAGCTGTTATGGCAGTCGTCGTGCTCCAGATAGCAGGTCTTCAGGTTCAACGTGGCCAGGTACTCCAGCTCCTGGTCCCACACCATGGTGGCCATACGCGTGGCCGGATAGTAACCAGGCAGTGATCCCGAGGCTATGAAGTTCCTCCGCTTGTTGTGCTCATCCACGATCAAATTGCGATAGGGTTTGAGGTCCACCATGGTGGCGTCCGGAGAACAACTCTCATGGAACTCCTAAGGGCAAATGAAATATGTTTTATTTCCGGCTGCAAAGAGAACTCATGAACTTCACTTACCCCATCATTATTGCAGGCAATGTGCACCGTGTCATCTGGACACAACTGCGGATCGCACCAGGACAGCGGTTGGGCTGTCACAACCACCAAGATCGTCAGCAGACAACCGATCATTAGGTATCTTCCGGACTCCATGTTCACTGGATCTCAATGAGGTTTCGAATGCAAGTGCAAGTCCTGACCACCCGCAAGGCGATATTTATAACGAAATTTTGATTTGCAGGTGTTTGTTTATTTATTATGGCGGGTGTTTACCAATCTCACTACCAATCCCAATCCCGACTTCGATTTCGATTCCGATTCCGAATCAAATCCCGATCCCGATCCCGATCCCGATCTCAATCCGAAAACGAAACCGCAGCTTGAGACAGGTCAAGCGACGTTTTATGAATCATTTCCATTTTCGGGGGCCGTTGTCTTTGTCTCAATTTCAATCTCCAAAGAGCGTTCACACCGAAACTTCAAAGTGCACGAATTCTAGGAAAAGTCGAGCAATAAACCCCGGAGAAGCCCCTAAGGGAAGAGTCTCCACTTTCTGGGCACGCGGCTCCCTTGCCGAAAACAGACTGTTTAACTAGATCGTTAATCTCTAAGTTGAGTTGAGTTGAGTTGAGTTCAAGTCAGAGAAAGCCAAGTAGAAGCATTTAGTTAAGGTTTGAGCTTTCGTAAGGTTGGTTACGGCACCAGTGAAAAATTGGGGTATATCTGTCCAATCATTACCCATTGTTATTGACAAATACACAACAATAAAAATAGATTGGAAATAGATTGTCTAATATAGGTTCACCCATAAAAATTAAAATTCTAAAAAAATAACTTAGTCCAAATTCGGCCCATTTCAACTCAAGACAACGTGGGTGTTTCACACAGTTCAGTGACTTTAGAATTCTAGTGTTTCCAGTCTTTGACACTGACATTGACCCAATTGATGAGCTTCGCCTATCGGGTATTGTTATAAAAGTATATTTATCCGCTTGTTTTTGCTTGTTGCACACGCTAAGCACCGCATTCAAAGATCCCCGGACAGGTTCTCAGTCACAAAGGAGAAATCAATAACTTCTGCGCACAAATCAAATAAAAACCGTCATTTGCATATGCTGGGGAACATCTTTATGAGTTGTTGGCCAATAATAAACGAAAGTTCTGTATGCCAAACCAGTCTGCGAAGACTGGGACTGGCTTTCTTTGTCGATTCGCATTGTTTTTTGTTTGGTCGAACTGCTTTGCCTTACAGCACTATCTGTGGGTACATAACTCACTGGTGGTTATGCAATGCTAGCCGGGTCAGAAGTCAGCGACAGACTCCCGATGACGACTCTAAATTGAATTAAATCATGCAAAGTGGCTGGAATCGATGCGATCATTTATTTTGTATTTGTATTCGGTCTAAGGCTACGTGTTACTAAATACTCTTGGCAGTTGTACCTGAGTGCAGGGAGTCCCCCTGGGATCCCTTTTACCAATTTACCAATTTGGATCGTACACTTCGCGAGTGGAACACAGTCCCGGATAGAATTTGCTCTTCCCCGTGGTGCACCGAGAAGCCGGATGGCCCGTCTCATAGACAGGAGCTCCCAGGGCGTACAGTGAGGCATAGTTGCAGATGAAGTTGTAGATGTAGACGGAGGGATAGTCGGGCCGTGTGAATCTCATGATGGAGCAGCCCAGTGCGAAACTCTTGTCCACACTCATCTCCGCAAAGTGTCCGTAGTCCTCACTGTTTAAAGAAAATCCATTAGTTTACATGGATTATACATAATCAAGGTATCAAGATACGCACAAAATAGAGGTGACCTTAAAGGCATCGATAAAGCTGCTGTCTATCAGAGAGTACTCGTTAAACCAGAGGCCCAAGCACTCCTCCACCAAACTGGTCACATTCACATACGGATCTCTTGGACGCCACACGGCGCACAGATTTTGTCCGGCGTTGGCATATCGGTAGGTGTTGTGGCAATCATCGTGGTCTAGCTTACAGGTGCGAGAGTTCAGCATGGACAGGTATTGCAGCTCATCGTCCCACACCTAAGGATACCAATATTGATAATTGGGGTGAACAAAATATGTTTTCGGTTGGTTCCCACCATTGTGGCCATTCTTGCGGCCGGATAATATCCCGGAACTTTTCCCAAAGCCAGGAAGTTTCGCCTTTTATTGTGGGCATGCAGGAAATCCCCCTTGTGACGGCTTATGTCCACTTGGACAGAGTCCGGCTGGCAGCGTCTGGCAAATTGCTGTGGAAAGAGGATAAAACAGTAGATATTAGTTTTGCTAAGCATTAAGCTTTTTTTAATGTTTTTGACTTCCCTTTAAAACAGTTCAAAACATGTAAATTTATATTGAAAAATTCTTTAAAACATATTTGGGGGCATTTCTTTAAAAACGAAAATCATCAAAGTTTATTGTGTATAATCAAATACAAATTCTAATTCTAGATCTAAAAAATAGTGATTATTAGACTATGAAGTTTTAAAATATATAAACTGCAATTGGGAGCTCCAATTAAGATTCTATCTACTATAATTCGCCAAAATCCTCATTAAAACAAGATACTGCCAGCTGATCAAAGATCTGTTGCGATTAAATTTAAACACAAATAAATTAACCATGCAATGACCTTGAGAGTTGAAGCATCTCAATTCAGCCATTTTTACAAATATTTCATCGTTCATCCCCCAATATGCATGCGATTAATATGCAAGACCACGTTATTTGACTTTTATCGTACGAACGATTATTTGTATACATTATATGATAAATACTCACTCCAGTATTTCGGCAGGCAATGTGTTTGACGCCATTCTCGCACAGAGCGGGATCACACCAGCTGTAGTCCTTGGCCAGGACCAACTGCAGCATAAGCTGAAAAATGGCCAGGCAGGCACACACAGTTCCACAGATCAGAGCTGACATTTTGTTTCTATACTACTCAAAAAAAGCAAATTTGTATTGAATCTTTAAAACTAAGTAGGATTGGGGCACTTTCAATCAGATTCTGGCCAATGAGCGTGGCCGTCTTTATTGGATGTTTCCGTTTGAATGATCACAGCACCGAGATCGGGGACTAAGTCTTAAACTAAGCAAGAGCGCTCGGGTGTCAACCGACTTTTTATATAGGTATCTCTCTCCGGCCGATTCTAATGCCATTTCGCAAGGCCCGACTTAGCCAGACCAAGCCTTTCTAACACGTTTAGAAACGAAACGGCCAAGAACAAGTTTGCACAAAATAATGATAATAAATATAAATATTAATTTGAGGGCCAGCCGAGCGGAGGATGAGTGAATCTTCCCGGTCTCTCGCTTCCATTTTATCCCGCTTCGGCTTGGGTTTCTAAAATCGTGACTCTAAAATTGGCTGAAATTAGCCAAAAAGTCTAAAAGGGAACAAAAAAAGGGGAGAGGAGAGAGTCTGGCCACGAGCTGGGAGCTATCGATCGATCTATGTGGAGAACGATCGGTTGACAGGCCATAAAATGTGCGCGTTTGATGTTAATGTGATCTTTAAGCGGCCCATATATATATGTTTAGTCTATATATTTATCCAGTTGGGAGCTTGGGAAACGGCGGCCATCCATTTCGGGGGGCGTGCAATTAATTACCCCGACTTTTATTGACACATATATCCGACCAGTACCGCAGCTGGCTGAGCCCATCAGTCCGGCTCAGAACCTATTAGACTAAATTTAGTGGCCTCAGTATGCAAATTTCAACAGCGATTATGCCCGATAAGGCGGCACTTAAGACTGGCGAGTGATTTAGCTAGCTTTTCCCAGATTTATGGCGGAGAAATTCAAGAAGAAAGGTGAGTCTGTGTGCTAATTGATGGGTTGTAGCATGTGTTTGGCTACCCTAAGAAGTCGGGAGAATGGGAAAGTCTGGAATCCAAGAGTTTGAGGGGTTTCTTTTAAAATAGATACTTTTTTAACTTTGGAAATATTTAATTCCTATTGTTTCTTATTTTCTTGAATTAAGCTGTATCTAGAATTATTTTTGATTCTTGATTACTGTGCCACAAATGACAGTAATTACCAAGCAATCAATCTTTATTGGGATGCCTCTATGTTTGTTCCCACAGATAAAATCAAGAATCACTGATCGCCGTGCCATTATCTCCCCCGTCCCCAGCAGACTCAGATTACAAGATTAGATAATGGCAATTAATACTCAATACCGATGGCACTGCAACAACTTCCGTCATGAGTAAACAGCAGAGTCGAGTTAATTTTTGCATAATTACATGTGACTGCGATGAGGCCTGCAGCGAAATAAATCGCTACAAGTAACTCAGAGAACAAGCGAAATCATTTAATATAATTAATAAACCGTATTGTTCCCGCCAGGCATGTGCATAAATGTATCCAAAATCTGATGGATGCCAACCAGTTTCTGCTGGCAAAGGCCGATACAAAAATATACAAATAAATAAACAAAAAAAGCTGCTGTCGACGCCTTTCTGTCTGTGGAAGTGGCAAAGTAAGTGACGGCGAGAGGAAGAGATTAAAAGTTATGTCTAGAAAGTCCCGAATCCTTACTCCAACTGCGTAATTATTCAAATGGCCAATAACTAGGCAATTAATTTTGCTTTGATTCTGGAGGGGATTGCCTATTTCTTTCTGACACACGCCATCGTCATTTAAGCCAACGCTGAATACTTGATTGCCAATTAAATTAGTCAAAACACATAAGAATCGATGCGATGGAGGGGAAGATGGAGAGTGGCAGATATCCATTAATTCACAATTCATTCAGACATTCATCTCGTGTAAGCTTAACAAATCTTCCCAGGCGTTTGTATTTTTAATGACCCACTCGACGCTGATTGACAGCCGAGTGGGTGAGGATTGGGGTGGGGGAGGTGTCGACACTTAATAACTAATTTGCTTAGCTAATTAACTGTGACCAAAACATCTTAATTGGAATACTAGGAGAGGAGTGGGAAAAACTGCAAATATAATATAAGGCACTTTCAAATTAAACCATTATAATCATCTGGAGCGTGTCAAAATTAATCCATGGTAGATGAAAATTAGTCAACACATTAAACCACTTGCTAATCAACTCAATTCTTAGAAATCATCTGGAGCGTGTCAAATAGACAGCACAAATTAAATTAACTGCTAAACCACAAGAAAACGATTTTTTCTAAAAATCAACTATCTAAAACATAAAGTCTCTGAAAACAGTTTTAAAAGTATATAAAAATATAGTTAAATATTTAAATTTCTTTAAATAATTAAAAGTCTCTGATAGGTTTCCCTTAAAAATTGAATACGTAGAAAAATAAATTAAAAATTTTAAAATTTGGCTAAAAAGTTTATTTTTACAGTTTATTTAATATAAAATTAATTTTATTTGAGTTAGAGATGGGTAATTTAACTGATAAACGTTTTATAGAACATTAACTTACGATTTGATTTAAAAAAATAAAAATTTCTTCAAAAAACGAAAAAAATGTCTTTGAATCTCAGTTTTATGACTCTTAACATACATTCACATATTTTCGTATTTATTTCTCCCCACATTTTGCTGGTGAATCGCTTGGAATTGCCACCCCGTTGGTGGGTCATTTAGGTCAACGCCGGAGAGTATGCCACAAATTATGGCCACTCTTTTTATTCCTACTCATTTGTAATACATCTCACTCTCTCCGCCACCGTATCAATTACATAAATAATGGTTCATTTGTCCAGTTCTGTCAACAGCTTTGGTTTCCCGCATCCGGAAAATGGCTTGTGCGTGGTCCTCGTCCTCCCCCAATCCTTGCCAATCCAATCCCCCGAAGACGAAGTGCAGCCCTTGAGCCAGTTGAACGTGGGTGGCTTTTCTCTGGGAGAATCCGCTGACATATGGATGTACGCGCTAATGGCCAAACCGATGACAATGGATGCTCCCACGCATACGCCGGATGATTCATGCGTTTCCACTCGGTTATGCACACTTACGAGTCGCATCCTTGGATGCTGGCTGTACACAGAGAAAAACGAATTGCTCTTCAACATATTTTTTATTGAGATAATTCAAATGGAAGATTTTTAAAACATAACAAATATTGTTATCAATCTAAGGAGCTAGAACCTAAGGCGTCCTTCAAAATAACAAGCATTTATCTCTAGTTTAAGCTACATTTTATGCACTACAGTTTAGCATTTATTTTTCATATGGTGTAATAGTAAATGTGATATTAGTTAGAAACGCGATTATTAGAATGATATTACATTTTTATTATTTATTTATTTATCTAAATAAAAATACCTCTGTGTATTAGATGATGCATGACCAATGGCATCGAATGCCCTTGCTCGTAGCGGCTTATCGCCGGACATCTCATCGTCTCATCGCAGCGAGTCCTGCCAGAGAAATTGATAAATTGTGGATTTTAAGTGGCTACCAGCGGGAAGGAAGCGGTATGGGTATGGGTATGGGGCTTCAAATTATGAGTTATGAACACGGATCCGTCGTCTAATGCCGCCCCTTGGGGAATGCAGTAAACGCCACTTGTCCCGTCCGACAGAAAACATTTCACCAAATGCCAAATTTGGCTCACGCCATGGCGCCACACCATCGTTGGCTGATCGGCTGGTCGGCTGGTCGGCTGGTCGGCAGATACCCAGTGGAATAGGTGGCCCGATGGCAGCTGGTCCTGGTCCTGCTCCAATATGGAGAGGTTAGCGCCCGATAAGGACAGAGCACGCGTCGCCGGCGTCTCCAGAGGAGCGACACGCGGAAACGCTCAAAGGCGATCCGCGCAGGCAGATGTCACCATGGTCCAAGATCGAGTTTAAGTGCCAGCAGATTTCTGCTGAAGCCACTGGACGGACATCAATCAGCCAGCAGGCACTTGCAATTGAAAGTGGCATCAACCTGATCGATCGACTTGTTTGGGGATTCAGTGCACGTGCCTGCTGCGTGGTAATGCACACAGGAAAAATAAGTCTTCAAATCGGTATAATACATAATTGTTAATTTTTGATGCCAAATGTCAAAGGCCATTGGAGTTCTAATAAATCTTTTCTTGTTAGTTAACGTTCCTTTTTCACACAATAAATAAGAAAGCACTTATCGTTAATTTAAATATTTTTATTAGCTGAAAAGAAAATGTTTTTTGTTTTTATGATAAACAATTTGGTTTCGTGACTTTTTCGTACTTAACATACTATTTCGATAAAATGCAATATTTGAAATGAAACCGAATATAGCAATAATGCCTTTGTAAATTGGACCTCAAGCCGGCAAAACATTAAATAGTAAACAGAAACAAAGTGTTAAAAAAAAAGAAAAAAAAATTGTAATTCGTTTCAAAATTACTTTTTCCTGCCTTTTGCCTAGTAACTCATTATAAGCTAAAAGTGGCTTTAAAACTGAGAAATCTTATGGAAGTTTACAATTTAAAACCTATATTTAACTAATTTTTTTGTCGCGTGTAGAGCGCTTTCCTCAATGAGCCGCTCGCGCCATGATCCAGGGACCATGCTATGCCAGATTGTGTTTTCCGTCTAAATCGCCTGCGATCGGATCGCTTGAATTTACGAGCGCCCGCCTCGTTCTCAGAATTGCGAAGGCTGCCTGCCCAGTAAGTTCGATTCGAATTACAGACAATCTTGAACTGGGAATTGGACGCGGAATGGGAATTGCCTGGCCGACCCTAGACATCGCTGACAATTATTGCAAAGCAAACATGCATAAATTGGCATTGCCCCCACTGGCTGATGGCAAATGGCTAATGGCTAATGGCCATGCCCCGTAATCCGACGCCAGCCAGACTGAGTTTCGCTCCCCGATTCTTTGCCTGGGCCTCAGTCCCATTCGGACGCTGGAGTGGCCCTTGGCCGTTGGCCCTCCACTCGCTCTGCGCACTGCGTTCTGAACTCCACTTCCTTCCGTGGCCAACGCATCGCATCACATCGAATCGGATTCGGATGGGCTTCGAATTCGAGTTCGGAGGCATCGCAGTGTTTGCTGCCACCCCAGACGCAGTGTCGTCGCGGAGAGTTGGAGTTCGTGCCTCTGAAACTGATGCCACACACGAGCAAAGAACAACAAACACAACCCAAGTTGGTCGGAGA